GAGAAGGCTATTTTTTTCCTTAAGCCATTTTAGTAGAAAATTGCAGGATAACTGCTGCAAATGTAATATTGTAATGTAACTTAAAAAGGCACCGAGGGGGAATTGCTTGAAAATATATAGAGCTCCATCACCACCACACCTTTTGCCCTTCCTGTCTCAGCCAATGCAGGCTTCTGGTTTGTGTTGCTCCATTTTGGCTTGCTTTTTCTTTCAGCCTGATCTTGCAAAAGAGAGCTTTGCTTTTCCTTTAACTTAATTTTTAATGTTGGAGACCACACCCTTGTTGGCCACTTTCTACGTATGTAAGGCCGCTTTCTACGTATGTCCAACACTGACCAATGAACACCTTAGCAGTTCTCTGTCTGTGAGGAAGCGGCCTCTGTTGTTTGTCTTAGTCATATTACTCGAGGCTTTCCCCTTTATTGCCCCTGACAAAGAAAATGTTACAGTCTGCTGCTTGGCTTTATGATTTTTGAAAGTGGAAACTGAAAAGAACAGAGGTGAAATTAAGCCATATTCTTATCACCTTTGTCAAATGAGCTTCCAGAATTCCCTGCTTTTCCCAGCTATAAAATCTGTAGGGTTACAAAATGACTGTTTCTGGCCAATATAAGTCTACTCCATCCTTTAAGATTTACGGGCTGTCCCTTGAATTAGTTTTATTAAATTTATTTATTTATTTATTTAGGCTCCCCACCCCCCACAATTCTGAATCCATACGGACTAGGTTCTTGTTTTAAAGAAAATAAAAATGAACTTCTAGTTAAGCTCATGCTAAGTTCCATGTGTTGCATTTGATTCTGCACATATATATCCTTCCAAGAATTTCCTAGAGCATGATTTCTACTGCGGCATCACAGAATACCTTGCATTTAACTCTATGGGTCTCTTTTTCAGGCTGTGCTGGTGGTACTCGGCCCGCTTCAGGCGGCTTCTGGTGTCCTCTTTCCACTGTTCTGATACAGATAACTTTGGCTTTTGCATCTTCTCAGGTTCCCTGGTAAGTGAATTAATTTGGACATGCTGGAAATTCTGAAACAGAAGAGGCAGGTACAAAAGAAAGCGGTGATCCTGCATCTTTTGTAAGAGTGTACAAGGCAGAAAATCAGCAGAAGGAATGACAAGCTAGAGCTGCTGAAGTTCTGCTTTTCTCTCTCTCATCAAAACTACTACAGTCTCATCCTCTTCTTTATCTTACTGTCTGAAGAGATCCACTTTCAGAGTGCCTGCTAAATGCTCCATCCTCATGAGATGAAATATTTAATGAGGTTTTAAATAAATATA